GTCTGAATGAATATCTAAACACATGCCGTATCGAGACAAAAACTCGTACACTATTTTCTCGGCCACAGTACTAGCAAGTTGATCTTTAATTGCATAACACTCCACCCATTTTGTAAAATTGCACATTACAACTAGGATATAAACATTGCCATTATCGGTCTTTGTCATAGGTCCCATGATATCAGTACTGACCCTGTCCATTACATGTCCAACAGTGTATTCGGATAGAGGTGATCTTGGAGTTTTGTGAGGTCTTTTCCGAAATGAACATTTCTCACATTGTTTAATATACATTTCCACACTGTGTCTTAATTTATACCAATAGAACTTGCATTTTATTTTCGACAAAGTTTTTGTAATTCCCAAATGAGCGCCTGTAACTGAGTCATGTGTAGATACCAAAATTTCTTTTTGTAAAACCTTTGGAACAACAAGAAGCAAAGTCTCCTCTCTTGTGTTGAGGATATATTTTGTAAACAGCACTCCATCTTTCATCACTAGTAAGTCATAATTTAACCAGTAATTACGTATGCCTGGAGAATATCCAGCTATCTTGTCCCTGGAGGGTCGTTTGTTTTCAATAACCCATGTTATCACAACTCCTAAATCTGGGTCTGCTCTCTGTAATTTTGCCATTCTGACTGGTGAATAATTAATAGTGTTGAACTGCTTAAGACAACCCAAGTTAGATGCCTGAGCTTCATTTTCCGATGAAACAACTTCGCCACCTAGTATGGAATTTACGTCCTTGTCAACCACTTGTGTATTATTTTCACCCATGTTGAGATTGTTTCCACTTCTTTCACCACGCGAATGTAGGCTTTCACGGAAACGAAGTCGACCAATGCGATATCGAAAATACTTCCTTGCCCTTTTTATTCCATGGAAAAGTGATTTTAAACAACTCATCAATTTTATAATTTGCAGCTGCATTAACACGAAAATATAACTCCAAAATGTACATTCATTTTGTGGTTTCACTCGTAACACAACAGGTTTGATACTTTTCCCTTCACCTATGTTCCTATCGAACAAGGGAACAACATTATCAAATTTGGCAAAATCCGACCAAGACTCGTGTTTCTTCATACAGGTTACACATCCTTTGCAAGGTAAATTTTCCAAGATTGTTTTTCCATCATAACAACTACACTCTTCTGGTTCACATGACATTCTAGAGAGACTGTCAACATTTGTATGTTTTTTTCCACTTCTATGTTCAATCCTAAAATTAAACTGTGACAAAACTTCTAACCAGCGAGCCATTTGATCTGTCGGCGACTTGAATGACATTAACCATCGTAGACTCGAACAATCTGTCCTCAAAAGAAATTCTCTCCCTAAAAGGTAGTGTCTGAACTGAGTAATAAAAGTTACAACACCCAAAAGTTCTCTTCTAGTTGCACAATAACGTCTTTGTGTTTTGTCGAAAGACTTACTTGCAAATATTATAGGCTTCTCAACGTAATCTTGTGCTTCCTCTGACCACTGCATTTGTGATAAACATCCACCACATGCAAAATTACTACTATCAGTGTCAACAATAAATAATCCATTGTCTTGCGGGTAAGCTAACACATCTTCACTTGTAAGTGCTGACTTTAAATCCATAAATGAAGCATCTTGTTCTGATCCCCAAATAAACGCTCGACCGGCCTCCATTAAGCGATTAAGAGGAGCTGCCCTCCCACTATATCCTTTAATAAAACGTCTGTAATAACCGCAAAATCCTAAAAAGCTTCTTAAATTTGTCAAATTTTGTGGTACAGGCCATTCCTTTACAGCCTTAAGTTTCTCCTCTGTAGGGCGTATTCCAGAACTATCAATTGTATGACCCAGTATATTTATACTTTTCTGTAATAAAGTGCATTTACTAGCTTTTAATTTCAAACCATTTTTCTCAAGTCTAGATAATATTTCATCTAATCTATTTAATGCTCCATCAAAAGTCTCTGCAAATGTACAAATGTCATCCATATATATTATCATTGTCTTCCACTGTAAATTTTTAAACACTAATTCCATACATCTTTGAAATGTGTGTGGTGACCCTGTCAAACCTTGCGGCATGGTCACATACTGATAAAGTCCACCTCTACTTGTACAAAACGCAGTCTTCTCACGATCCCTTTTATCCAATTCAATCTGGTAAAACCCCGAAAGTAAATCTAATGAACTATAATAATTATTTCCTCCCAAAGATTCAAGACAAGATTCTATTCTTGGTAACGGATAAGCGCATTTTTTGCTTAAATTGTTCAAACCCCTGTAATCCACACAAACTCGTACACCACCCTGAGGTCCCTTTTTCCGTACAAAACATAAAGGTGCAGACCAAGGACTCGTGCTCTCTTCTATAATTCCCATGTCCAATTGCTGCTGAATGATCTTTTCTTCCTGTCCTTCAAAAGCCTTTGGCACACGTCTTGGTGGAATTTTGATTGGCCTGACATTTTCTGGAACTTCAATAGTATGTTTCACAACAGAGGTACGACCTAAATCTGTAGGAGAACTTGAAAATGCATTTTTATGTTTTTCTAATAGATGTTTCAATTTTTCCTTTTGTAAATTATCAAGATTTTCTGAAGATCTCTGATATAACTCTTTTAATTCACTGTTCCATTTTGTGATATCGCACTTAATATTATCCTCATTTATTTCGAAAGTTGCCGACAATTTGCAGTCATCTAAGTTCACATTTTCTTTCAATAAATCTTCTTGATTTAATTCATGCAAATATCCCAATAATGACCCCTTGGTTAATTTCACATTTCTATCAGAGGTATTAACCAGTCTTATAGGAATTGAATTGCCTTGAAGTTCCCTTGGGGATACTAGCACACTTCCCATAAAAACTTTATTCACTGGCCATTTATTTTCCAAAGGGCAGATGATGCCTAATGATGAGTTAATTGTTCCAAGATTTATTGCCTTGCCAGGTATAACAATTTCTGAGTTTGCTGGAATTGATACCTTTGACCGCGTAGTAATTTTCACCGCTCTTAATGGCACTTTCTCCACAAATGTCTTTCATTTTTTCCCATTTAATTTTAATCCTTTTTGAGCACTAAGTTCAAAATTATTTTCATTTAAGAAGTCTAATCCTATTAATCCATCTTCATGATTATGTGCAACAAAAACCGTTTACTCAAAAGTTTGACCTGCATTTGTAAAAGAAAATTCACATTGACCAACTATAGTTAATAATCCATCATTTGCGACTTCAAAGCGCACTGAACGTTCAACATCAGACAAAATAGGTCGAATATCTTCTGGAATTCTATAATAAAATGCAGACGATAATATTGTACAACAAGCTCCAGTGTCTATAACAAAATTTGCATTCACAGTATCAAAAATTTTTACAGGCATAATAAGCGAAACACCATTTGCATTAGCACTCCTACACTTAATTGTCTTATATACAATGTCATTGTTACTGACCAAGTCTGGGCCGTAAGGCTTGGTCTGAGTTAGTTTCCCTGAGAAAGTTGATTTGATGGACAATCCCGAGCATAATGTCCGAGAGTATGGCATTTGTAGCAAGTGACATTCTTGTAGTCCGGTTTATTTGACTGACGCTGAGTAAATTTCTGGTTGTTGTTTGCCTTTAAATTCAATTGATTTGCTAGCTGGTCAATTTTCTTCCCTAATGATGATTTCAGATCCTTACCAAAATCTTGAAGACGGGCTTCTGTGACGTATTCTTCCTTTTTATCAATACTCCTGATCCGAGGGCCTCTTACATCATCCCTTATACTTGTATAGTTGTCTAACAATTCTCTAGCATGGTCTATTGTCTTAGGGTCTTGCATCCCGATGAACAAAGCTGCTTGTGAATCTTGAAGTCCCTTCAAAAAATGACGTAAATTTATGGTTTCTCGAGTGGCATTGTCAGCAGTAGGGTATCCCTTAATCACCAACCTTTTTACGCTTGCAACATACTCAGCCAGAGTTTCCTTCTCGCGAAAATATTTGCGATTTTCCAATTCAGCCAAATACGAAGCAGTAGATCGTTTTTCTTGAAATCTTGTAATAAGTGCAGTTTGAAGAAGATTGTAACTGTTCAATGTGTCTTGTCCCACTTGCTTAAATATGTATTCTGCAGCCTCGCCTCGCAAACTGTTTTTCAGACGGAACAGTCGCTCATTGTTGTCCCAATTGCAAGCTATAGCCATGGCCTCAAATGGATTGATGAAGCTTTCCCATGAATTTTTCCCATCAAAAAGAGTTTGTCTGGGGAGTGGAACGTCATACTTCCTATGTGAAATTCCATTTGAATTTCCAATATTTGACTGTGAACCATTTCTTTGTGAAAGAGCTATATCTGCTTCAAGTTGCCTTATCTGATTATTTTTCTCAATGCTAATGTCATTAATTCTCTGTTGATACTGATTCACAATTTCATCTCTCTGTAACACGGATTCTTGCTCTTTTTTTCTAATAATTTCTTCTAATTTTCTATTTTCTTCTTCTGCAATTCTCAGTTTTTCATGTAACAACTCAGTTTCTGATAAAACGTTGTCACCAAATTGTTCTTCATTTATTGTTCTTTGATTTATAGTAATAAATAATGACAACAAATGAGGTCTCAATTCTCATACAAACTCAATCATTAAATCAAACCTTAACCAGGTGCCTTGCTAAAACTACAACACAAGGTCAATTTTATTTTCTTGGTATCCACCCTCATCGTCTTCAGCATACCCATATTAGGTTAAAACACTCAAGATATTACTTGTACTATAAAATGCCTCTAGCATTCATATTTTCTTAAAATCAGTCCTGTTTACATCTGTCATTTGCTTTCAAAGTTGGTCTGTAAATTCGTCTTTTTCATGTTCAAGCTCGGGTTCCGTTGTCTTACTAATTCCAGTTAAAATATTATTAAAACACGAAACTTAAAATCCATTCACAAATAAAAATGTGAGTTATAATTATCTTTTTGTTTAATTTCTAAAGTAATTGTATTGATTTAAATTCAAATCTGTTTCAAAAAGGCGTACCATACCTTGATCCGGACAAGACGACACAGTTTGAGATGAGACCCCGCCTAGGGGAGACAATCTACCTGGAAATGCACTCCGCTGGCTTTCCACAGCCTAGTTTCACGTGGTCTTTTGGGGGCGCTCCATTAAAGCATACTGACGAGGGTTACACAAGTACGGTGCAGCTGGACAATGTTCACATGCATGACTTCGGGGAATATCGGTTGGATATGGAAAATTCAGTTGGAAAAACAACTTACTTCTTTCACGTGATTCCGTCAGGTATACTAATTTATACCTAAGACGCCTGCAAGAGAAATCACTCCCTATTTCAAAACATATTTGACGCAGATTTTTTGTTGTTGTTTTGTATCATCGCATAACGAGAGTTGTAAATGGGATACAGAACTGGTTTTAGTTTGTCCGTCAGTCCAGCCGTTCAGATGTCTGGCCGTCTATATGTTCATCTTCTTTAAGACCGATGAAACAAATTTTATTTGTCATGTTTACTTGCGCATGTCGTAAAGATTTGACCTTGACTCATAAAATGCCATGACATTCATGGTAAATTCTTATAGTTTTAACATGACTTTAAAATGACCTTGTCATTCATTGTCAAATCTTTTAATTCTGCTAAAAATTGCCATAGCTTTGTTATTAATGCTTGTATTGTTTTCATACTTAGACATAAAAACCCTTTTGCCAACACAATTAAGAAGGTTAAACTTAACTTAAATATAACTTTTACCTTTATAGTAAAATTATTGATTTGTTTTTCTGAAATTGGAAATACCCTTATTATTAATGCTCAACTTTGATTTCTATATGGACAAACTAAAAGTAAGCATAAACCGGGGGGGGTGGCAGTTAAGATATACATTACATGCAGTAAAACATAACCCCATAACGTCACCTCGGGGAGAACGTTCTTCCGTTCGTAGGCAATTGGTTTCCGCAGCATACATTTTTCGTTAATGTGTAATATGATCCATGCTGGTCGCAAACCCATTATGTTGGTTTTGTCATGACGCGGCTCATTTTTTGCCTTTTCAACGGCAAAATTAACTATTGATTCTATCTTATTAAAAACATCTTTTCATCTGAACAGGTCCTCCAGAACCTCCAAGTGACTTGACGTTCATTGATTCAACCACATATAGTGCAACATTGAGCTGGATACCAGGATACGATTACAATAGCACGCAGACGTTCGTAATAGTGGATTCCAAATTTAATGGTACATAGCTTCAATCTATTTATCTATTTACAAGTACAATTAAAATTGCCATCTGTAAATTCGTGCAATGTCACCAGCTGGTGTGCTGTAAAAGTTGTTTACTAAAACTAATATTATAATCTCCGAATATCTAACCAATAAAATCAACCAATATTATAATATCCGTATATCTAAACAATAAGATCTACTAATGTTATAATCTCCGAATATCTTACCAATATGATCAACGAATATCTTACCAATACCATCAACGTATATTTTATTAATATAATAATATTTTATTTTACAATATAATATATAAGTATAATTTTATTGCTTAATATAATTCACTTTATTTTCATTTGTATGTAAAATATATACGTTCGTTACACATTATCAAAGATTATACCCTCTGTTTTTGTTTACATCTAAAACCACGTGGAAAAATTACTTTCAATCCGTATTAAGTCCGAGGTTATTATGAGTAATAGCCGAGATGTTCCGATTGATACAATGTAAACCAAAAAAAAAACGACCAAGTGATGACAATTGAAATGGAAATACTGATGTGTTCAATCTTGAAAATAAATAGCGCGCCTCTGAAATTATTTCCAACATAATATCGTACCAGAGGGAGATAAATGAGTGACATCATATTAAAAAAGACCACGGTTCTTTTCGATTTTTTTTCTGGATATTACATGCAATAACACCCATTTATGGTCGCTGATTTGGTACGCTTTTGTGCGTCGTGTTGGCGATAGCGACAACACGACAAAGAGCCAAACGGCGCGTTGTCGCGCTGTCGTCTTGTCGTCCTGTCTAGCAAAGCACGCCAAACGGCGCGTTGTCGTGCGGCATGTTGTCGCGAGGAAGTAAAAGTAAGGAAAGACCACGAAGTAGAGTTTTGAGGGAAAAAATTTTGATATGTGGGGGTCTTTTTTAAAAAAAATGATTTTATCTACGCTATGATATTAACATTTTTTTCTCCATCAGCAGTGCTTGACAAAATAATATATGTACACATGCTTGTCTCATTTCAGTTTTATACGAATTCACAGAAGATACAAATAATGTTGGAAACATAACAACAAAAACAGTTGACCGTCTTACACCTAATCATCTTTATAACGTCACAATATTTGCCAGAAACAAAAACGGTACATCTCGAGATCTAAATGCCGTCAGTTTCTACACTCAAGGTAAGTTCAAACCAGACCTTGTCGTTTTGGATTTTTCGAAGGCGTATTGCCAATTTCATTTGTTACAGAAACTAAGTCTTCACAAGATTTACTAAATGCGTATTGCCAATTTCATTATCTGACGGAAATTTCCTCTTTTACTACATGCGTATTGCCAATTTCATTATGTGGTGGACATTTTTTCTTTTACTACATGCGTATTGCCAATTTCATTATGTGACGGAAAATTCCTCTTTAACTACATGCGTATTGCCAATTTCATAATGTCAGCGAAACCAAGTTGTTGTTTTTTTTGTTGTTTTTTTTTTTTGGCGAATTGTCAAATTTATTCTACTCAGAAACTAAATCTTCATCTTGGAATGAAATTGCCAATTTCATTGTTTTACAGGTACCAGGTTATCTAATGTTTGTACTATCCCTATTGCCATTTTTCAAAACTGCAAGCTCATTTTGCATGGTTATAGGCAAATTAGCAATGGGTTTCAGTATCAGTTCTCCGTTTAATGCAGTTAGAACTTCACTTTTAAAGGCCGTAATTTCTTATGTTAATTTAAAACATCACGTCTTTCTTTGTGTAATGCCAATTTGAATGCATTACTTAAACTATGCATTCGTACATTTAGGCAAATTTCAATATATTTTTTTTCTTTTCCAGAGAGCTCGGTCCCATTAGGCGTTATTTTAGGTGTAGTTTCGTCGCCTTTTGTAATCGTTGTGCTGTTCAGTTTAGCTATTAAATACTGCCCCAAGAAAAGAGGTAGGTATAAAGAAATTATTTCAAAAATATTCTCTAGCATTTCATAAAATTGTAAAAAAAAAAAAAGAATATTTATAGCTGACATTTCATAAAATTGTAAAAAAAATAATTTTATAGCAACACTTTTTAAGCTAAAAGTAGGGCAAAACACATAACTTAACATCAAGCAGTTGATAAGATAATGGCTTGTATATTTTTATTTTTAATTTTGCTGACCGTATGTCATATTAACATTGACATCCTAAATACCCCTTGGTAACTTAGAAATAAATTTTGATTTGCAGTTAGACAAAACGTGTAACGTCATAAATGACGTCATAGTTATCGGATAACGTAAGGAGTGTGACACGATCATAATTTTTATTTGAACATTTTATATACTAGTATCGTTCGAATATAGTTTTACATGGATACAAACCTTTAATATACATATAATGTATGTTTTCAGTTGTTCAACCCGAAAAGCAACCCCTGCTTGATCCACATAACCATGGTGATCAAGGTATCTTAGTATTAGTCATTTATACTAGAGTCGTATCATTAAACGCACATTATGCCTCAGAAACAATTATGCTTTTCCATTTTTTAGAAAGAGAAAAAATGAGTGTTAGATTATTTGAATAATGCGGTTAGAACATGTTAGATTACTTGTTACCTAAAGAAAGCATCGTTGCATGTGAAATTATTTGCCATAAAAGTAGCAAAATGTAAACAAAGTAGTATTTTGACTTCTCCACAAAATACTAAGTCACTATAACTGTAGTAATTGCCAAAAAGCAACAGAAGCGAAAAAACATGGTTCAGGTAATAGGCTAATTAGGAACTTTTTGGAAACTTTAACAGGACATCAAAAATTAGAAAGATTTTGAGAAATGAAAATAGAAACAATCCTGAGGCATAATGGGCCTTTAAAACATACACCATTTATATGAATTTATTTATTGTTGTCTTTTTAAAGAAAACATTTTTGAATATTTCTTATAAGACATTTATTCGTCTCAAAAGGATACATAGCGTTTTTTTATTTTCAATCTTCTACTATGTATATGTTAGTGTTCATCCGTGCTGTTCTACAGAAATTAGGAACTTCGACGGGAGCGATGGCGACAGGAGAATGTTTCTAATTTCTGATGAATACTTAGTAATATTATTGAAAGTTTGAACAGAGCGCTTGTCACTTTGAACAGAGCGCTGTCTGAATTTAGGTATATTAACGTAGAATTGAAAAGCTTACCACGGTTAAACTAATGAACTCAAAGGTATAAATATATATACTTGTATGTTTCTATAGATAATGCTGGTGAAAGAAAACGTTGGTCCGATTATAACAAGTCTTACACTCGATATTTGGAAAGTGGGGAAAGTGACCAAGGCATTGATACGATTTATTAAAAGATACACATGTTTATCTTAATAATCTAAAATCATTTATAGCTTAATAGACAGGACTGACTTTGAGAATTTGGCTCCCTATAAGATGCTAGAGGCACTTTGTAGTACAAGTGGTATCTTGGTGTATTTTAACTATTTAAGGTATGCTGAATCCGATAAAAGTGAATACCAAATTGAAAAACTTGATCTTGACCATTGAAATGGCCATTTGAAATGACCACTAAAATGGGCGCCAAATTTCTTTAACATGAAATGGATGATATATCAAATAAAACTTTTAAGGAAAGGAAAAGCCTGAAATTTGTCACAAAGCATGTTTAGGTAAAAACAAATTAGACACCAAAACAGAATTAAAAAAACAAAACAATCAAATATGGCCGAATAGTCCAAGATGGTGGACATTTTTCTATAGGCCAATATAATACTAATATAGAAGTAATATTAAAGATAGTACTGAAAATTTTAAGGCATTTAAACATAAGAGACCTGTATTTAGGGTTTACGCAGCGTACACTTCACTCTTCCCTGCCCTATCTGCTTGATATAGGGCTTTTATGTATTTTATCTGGCACTCTATGCAAGCATATAACGTGACTATTCAGATTCCTACTGCGAGGAGGTTAAACATGTGCATGCAAAATATACATTAATTAAACCTTTCTCTGAGTACTCTTGGGTTTTGATGCTCGTTTGTTAGCGGTAGTCGTCTGCGCACTTCTGTTATCGGTCCTGGTCTCAGTTCTTCTGTTGTCAGATGTTCTGTTATCGGTTCACGTCTCTGTTTTCGGTCGTCGTCTTTGTTCTTCTGTTATCGGCCCTGGTCTCAGTTCATTTGTTGTCAGATGTTCTGTTATCGGTCGTCGTCTTTGTTCTTCTGTTATCGGTTATCGGTTCTCGTCTTCGTTCTTCTCCGTTCATCTATCATCGGTTCCCAACTCTATTTTTCTGTAATCAGTCCTGGTTTCCGTTTTCTTGTTAATTCTTCTGTTATCGGTCCTCGTCTCTGTTCGCTTGTTGTCAGTTTTTCTGTTATCGGTTCCTGTCTCTGATCTTCTGTTATCGGTCCTCGTCTCTGTTCGCTTGTTGTCAGTTTTTCTGTTATCGGTTCCTGTCTCTGTTCTTCTGTTATTGGTCGACGTCTCTGTTCGCTTGTTGTCAGATCTTGTGTTCTTGTGTCCATGTCTCTCTTCTTCTGTTTTCAGTCCTCGTCACTGTCCTTCTGTTATCGGTCCTCGTCTCCGTTCGCTTGTTGTCAGTTTTTCTTTTTTTTATCGGTTCCTGTCTCTGTTCATCTGTTATTGGTCGACGTCTCTGTTCGCTTGTTGTCAGTTCTTGTGTTCACGGTCCCTGTCTCTCTTCTTCTGTTTTCAGTCCTCGTCACTGTCCTTCTGTTATCGGTCCTCGTCTCCGTTCGCTTGTTGTCAGTTTTTCTGTTATCGGTTCCTGTCTCTGTTCTTCTGTTATCGGTCCTCGTCTCCGTTCACTTGTTGTCGGTTTTTCTGTTGTCAGTTTTTCTGTTGTCAGTTTTTCTGTTGTCGGTCCCTGTCTCTGTTCTTCTGTTATCGGTCCTCGTCTCTGTTCGCTTGTTGTCAGTTCTTGTCTCCGTTCTTCCTTCTGTCATCGGTCGTCGTCTTCGGTCTTGTACTTTCGGTACTTATTTCCTGTTCCGTTAAGGTCTTCTCTTGTATACTATGGTTGCCGTCATTCTGTGTCGATGTCCTGGTTTTGTCAGTCTTGTTGTCATTTATTCGTTCAGTGGAGTAGCGGGGGATCGAACTCACGACCCCTTGATTTGTAGGCAGACAGTGTTACCACTGCACCATAGCGCCCGCTCTGAATAATAACCATTTTTGAAAGTCCTTTATACTTTAAATACTATTTCAATGGCTAACAAAGGGTGTATTACAATTATATTTTAACACCTCTACTATGTAATCAACCCACGTGACTTTTATATATGGTCAAAGTAAATATTACTCGATTTATTACAAGTAATATTTTTATAGATAACTTTGCTGTTACTTTAAGATATCCTGGATTTATTGGAGGGTACCCGGAATTCTAATGTATATCAAATGATGTGATAATCTTCTTGTAGAATTTTCTCAAAACCGTGACTGAATTCCAAAATTTTCGAGAGCTGCCATGGTAAAGCAAGCACACATAGCAATCTCCCAGTTTCAGACAATTTATGACTCTATGAAAATATGGTGTTGTTATTGTTGTTGTTGTTTTTAACTTTAACTTTAAATTTCAAATTAAATAGTCACTTATTTTTAAACAAGATGGTAAACATTTGGTGTTTTCTGTAATTTTTGTTAAGAATGTGATGAAGTATACACTTCTAAGTTTAAGATGACTTTTTATCCATCGTATACCTTAATGCAGTTATAATTGAATCTAAAAAATGAATTATGCAGACATTATTTTCAGCAGAAAACAACAAATACAAAAAAAACCACACACAAAAAACTTACATGCAGCATACATGTGTAATGTTCACAATGTGCTGAAAAACGGCTCTTTATTAATTTCAATATTTCAGCAAGTTACACATTTTATAAATGAATGGGACAGAAATGTTGTTGTAACCTTTAAAAAGTAGGATTTGTAAAAATTTGTAAGTTGGCTATTTTTTACCTAGTTTGCTCAACACTCAAATAACACATTTTTATATATAAAACAACTTTCATAGATTGAGATAGATCCATAATGTCGTAGATATTTGGGTTACAACAGGAGTTTTTGATCCTGATAATGTTTTAAGTAGGAGAAACATATTCTTAAAATTTTGTACTGCCTTAATTCATTTTTTTAAATACATGCAATTATGTTATTATTATGTCTTTAGTTAATAGTTTCTAGAGAAAAGCCTTAACAAAGGTGGTATCTTTTATTTTATATATAAATTTTATAATGTGTCACATGTCGCCTTTAAAAAGATTTTGTGGTGATTTTGCGCATACTTAATCCCGCTTTTGCATGTTGGAACAACAATATTTTATTTGTTTGTATACACAGGCTAATTGCTTATTTTGTATAATCTTATTTTATTGACCTGTAAATTATGAATACATTACAGCACTCATTGAAATATTAGATTCCACTTCGATTTCGTTAGTAAAGTTTACGCGAATTAATAGAGGATATTTGTTTGTTTGTGTGTAAGATGAAATTTTATTTCATCGGGTGGGCTTTAAACAAGTGGCGTAGCCACGAGTGAGAATACTGTTCTTAAAGTTCACGAGTATAGTAAACTATAAAACTAATGTTAGTGAAAGTCATATCTGCTAAAAATGTAAACGTTATCGTTACTACCGCAGTAGCATTGCCGGTTAAGTGATTGACTGATATGTGAGAGGTCTATGGTTCGATTCCTACTGTTTCCCTTTTTTAAGACCTACTGTTTTTTTTTTTGTTGTTTTTTTTTTTTTTTTTTTTTTTGGGGGGGGGGGGGCGTCGGGGTTGGTGGTAGGGGTGGGGTGGGGTAGTATATATTTTAAAACACTTTTGTCTCGGTCTGTGTTGTGTTTATGGCATTGAAATGACATTTTTTGACATTTCAAAATAATTAAATTAAATATTAATTTTAAACCATAAATACTTTAATAAGTGCAAAATAAATGAAAACAAAATGAACAACTTAAAAAAAATCATAGCTACAAATAATGTTGAAAATAACGGAACACCTGAAGTGACATTTTCCACACTTTCTCCCGGAATTGAAATCGTTTTTACGAGATAATAATTCCCAATTAGAAATATTATTTCGTTTTAACGAAATATAAAATCTTAATTACGAAATATTGATTCCTTATTACGAAATATTATTTCGTAATTACGAAATATTAATTCGTTATTACGAAATATTAAGTTACGATATATTAATTTGTTATTATGAAATATTCATTCTTTGGTAAAATTTATAAAGAAGGATTTGAAACTAAGTTTATTGTTTAAAAAATATAAGTCAAGTAAACAAAACATAAAAAGTGATTTTTTTTTCAATCTTAGTCTTATACCGTAACGCGCTAGTAAAACAGTACTGTATATTACTGTTTATTGAGCCATTGGGCTTATTATCGTTATATTTGGTGGCTAATCTCATTAAAATCTGATCATATTGAATAATCATTTGATTTTGACAAGAATAATTAATTGCATCATATTGTATCATAGTTTTAATGACCTATTTAAGTATTTTTAAGCGGCCATTTTGAATTGACCTTTTGAAGGTCAAGGTCAATTTTATTATCTTGGTATCCACCCTCATCGTCTTCAGCATACCCATATTAGGTTAAAACTCTCAAGATATTACTTGTACTATAAAATGCCTCTAGCATTCATATTTTCTTAAAATCAGTCCTGTCTATAACATAATGTTTAAAGTTTTGTTAACAAAATTGACTCTTACTGCGTCAATAGTACAATTTTACCAAATGAGCGCTAGCGGTAAAAAAAAAACTTTGGCCTGGACATAGGCACTCGATGGCAAATTTTTATTTTGATCTACTACCCGTTGTGACCGACTATCCGTCGTGAATTTTATAAACTTTTATTAATAATCAAACACTTATCAAATCAATAAAAATCTACTATAAATGTAATTTATATACATAGTAGATATATCTTTTCTTTTTTTAAAGACGTTTTGGCGATATATTTTTATTGATTTGATAAAAAGATTAATAGATCAAAATAAAATTTTGCCATCGAGTGCCTATGGGCCTGAAATCAGTATCGGGTCAGGTCAGTAATTTGATTGGTAGTCTGGTTCCCTTCCTGCGTATAAACGTGGTGTAAGGGGAAAGAACTCCAGACTACACTGTTGGTAATTGGGTTTGATTGTTTGTTGCTTTTTTTTTGTTTTAAATGATATAAATATATATGTATATATATAGATATTGGAGATGAAACTGAAAGAAAACGCAGGTCCGACGACGACACATCGAGTGAGGAAAATGATCAAGGTAAATTGATAAGATTTATTAAAGTGACATTAAGCTCATCTTTTTTATTGATAATGAAAAATGTTCAGGACAAAATTATACTGTTGGTAGTCTGCCTACATTTACTGAAGTGTAAGGGGAGGGAACTCCATACTATACTGTTAGTAACTGGGTTGGTTGGTTGGTTTGTTTGTTTGTTTGTTTGTTTGGTGTTGTTTTTTGTGTCTTTTGGTGGAATAGTTTTTGGTATTTTGATATTGAAATCCCTAACACTTCTCAATTCAATGCATGGCTGATCCATAACACAAATTTGGTACGTTCAGGGTTAACACAACTTTGTCACTTATGTAAAATCAGGCCAGCATTGTTAATGTGTAAAGGGCGTTTTGATTACACGAAAAAAATTTTTTTTATATGAAATTCATATTTATGTACTGTCAAATTGTTAACATCTGCATGTACACTGCGTTTATCACTCACTGTTTTTATTTACTTATAGTGGATGATGGGAATAGAGAGACAAATACTCGCGGTGTTCATAAAAATCAACAAAAGAAACGGAGAATTATTTGGTCATGAAGCACAAAAAAACTATCTCAGATTAATTAAATCTGGTTATATTATGGTAATATCACATTTAGTGAATTCGTTCATGATGTTGTAAAAATGTTAATCAAAGTGTCTACAAAAAGAACGAAAATCAAAGAAAGACTATGTATATGAATCGCGACAATTTGTAATTTATTGAAAATATTATACTGTGTACAGATTTTGTTAGGGAACAATGTTTTTAATATTAACAAAATGTTTATTTCTAACACATTTTGTAAATAATTTTTATACATAACCACTTTTGTATATAAGTATTCTGTATCAATGTATAGTGTCAGACTCGAATCTTTCATGGGTGGAGGCGACCAGCCAAGCTTACGGAACCAGGTGGTGTTACTTAGGTGCTCGCCCCTGCCTAATATAACACAAAAATGATATCAGTGGTCTTCTTCGCCCATTGAAGCCGAAAAGGTCATAGTTCACTGAACAAGTTCCATTTCAGTGGAAGTGTAGCGTAAAACACACCCCTGAAATAGAACATTTTGTCTGAAATAGAAGTGGGTGCTTTTCAATTATCTGTATTCTATTTGTTCTACAAACATATAACTTACCATGTTATCTAATATTACAATAGCTGGAAAACATTTGTGTAAGTTTAACGCAAAACGAAAACGCCTGATAGTCATTTAAATCTAAAAAAAAAAGGCATTGCCGACAAATTCAAGGCCGTAATCTGATATTTTATGTAATATTAATGTAAAACTTGGTATAACATCGTCATAATACATAACTCGTAAGAAATGTGTTGCTATTGTAATACTAAAAGTTGTTTGTTTAAATTTGCATGATTTTCTCGTGCTCATAGATCTTTTCAGATAATTATTTGGCTTTTCACTACATGTTTTAAGTAGACCAATACACACGCGTAGTCAAGATGGTATAGGGAGTTAAATATAGAAATTCAAACCTATTATTAAAGTTGGATTTACCTCCCTTCGGTATCCGGAAAAAAAGTCATATTAGTAATGTATTTTACAGATTTTTTCAAATCAGAACATGAAAAGATGATTTTTTTTTTTGCTAAAGTATACAATACTATCCAAGCATACGAGATATATTTCAACATCTTCATAAGTAATGAATATTTTACCCCCAAGATTTTTTATATTATTATATAATACAAGCTTATAGTATATTATTTGCATAAATTAGTTTTTATTAATTATCTGTTTAGATATTTTATATCTTAATATCGGACCGCGATATGATGACATTTTTTCTTCTTCTTTAATCAAGCCATGCTATTAAAAAAATTGTCTTGACAATGCCCGACATCATTTTGATACCCGAACAAATGTATATAAACAAATCTTGTATTAAAATGCTGTCGAATTTGGCGACGACGATTATATATATTTATATATAATAAAACGTACTAGAAGTAGATCAGATTCAACTTTAATATATCTTGGTATGCAAATTGTAAAATGCGCGTTTTCGTTGCAATATTTTTATCTAAAAAAACGTAAACATAGAAGAAAATATTTGAATAAATAACAAACGTTAAAGATTTGATTTAATAAAATCCTAAAATTCTATTCTGTTTTATTCTAATAAAAGGAATAAAAGTAAAAGTAGATTTCTTATGGTGATCCATAAAGCAGGTACATGTATTCCGCACTCTGATAATGCTTGAATTCCTCTTCTATATCACAAAAACATCTTTGCGTGTTTAAAAACGATATCAATATTGTTTAACAAAGATTTATTGCCGTTTGACCATAGGTTATACCTATCAGCACATGGAAACTATCTAAACAAAGGAACAATTCATTTTGTATTTGATATAAGTAGGTAAAATGAAATCTGCTTCAATTTTGCTCTTTTTTCTGTTTTAATTTTACAGAAAACATGATTATTTTCTATCACCACCCTATTACATTAATCAAAGCACAGAAGGCGCTGAATTTGTTTGGGTCTTAGAATGTCAGAAAGGTGAAGGTTGTGAGATTATAAACCAATTTGATTTTGTATAGTGCCATCAATGCTGTTTCCAGCGTTTTAATTGCAGTAAATTGGCTATAAGACTAATTGCAACAACGTTATTCAATTCAATGTTTATTTGACTTAAACAATTAAAAAAAATGAGTGGCTTTGACTGGGATTTGAACTCCAGACCTCTCGCTTCCTAAGTGAGCGTGCAAACCCCTCGCCCATGGTGAAGTCTTATGAACACGGCCTGAAGAAAACGACATTATTCTAAATTAGGGTTTGTAACCCTTATTATTTTGAAACAGATGTAAATAATCATGGAGCTTACTATAAGCATGTATATCTATAAAGAATAAAACAATATCAAAATTCTTCGACCATTCGGAAACTATTTTGCTTGAAAATTAATGCGCCTGTCATTTGACAATCTTTACGCATTGATCTCCCCTGAATTTTTTTGGCGTTAGTGTACATATAAAGGGAAGTAACCGCTTCAGAAAAGTGGACTACTTTCGGCATTTGCAATTAACAGCATCAGGGTCTGAAAATTCGCTACCATTATTTGTTTGGTCTGACGACCCAAACAAATAAAAATTGCACATTTCATGTTTCGTGCCGTGTGGGAGGAGAGCAGAAATACGAAGGTTTGAAAACACTGTTTGCCGTGTTGACAGCTTCCTTCACTGCTTAGGTTTGGTTTGAAACGCGAAAACGCGGCCAAAAAGCTTTTTGCTTTTCCGCCTTGAAAACACGCACATACAAAATGGAGCGAATCAGACACCATAGTTTCATGTTTAAATCTATAAACCACGTTATTATTTTTAGAAAACAATTTAATTCCTTTATTTTTGAAGTGACAATGGCATTAAATCATGAAATATAAACTTAATTAAATCATTCTCGAACTTAACCACACTGGTGTCGCGTGAGCAAAATATATTCATGGTTTGGGTAGAGCTACCATATCCCTTGTTTTGGCTGATATCACAAGGTCATCTCTTCTATAAAAGCTCAAAAGTGTCCAATATTATCTATCAAATCCGAAGAAACATTTACAAAACTGTATGGTTACTATTAAGTACAAAGTATATTTTCATCATAATCTATGTTGCATCATCAATAAATCTTTGACTTAATTGACAGGCAATGTTCATGTCACACGTTTATTGTGTAAATAAAACTGGATTATCACGTAAAGAAATTCAATATTTGCAACATTTGTTCTATGAAAAGTTTAATAATTAATTTACTTTTAAAATGTTCGGAAAATCTGAATTGATTGAACATCAGTATATGCTACAATGCCTTTTTACAAACATTAATTAATCATTTATTACAAAGGGAACAATAGCTTGTTGATGATACAGTATTTGTCGTTTTTGTGTTTATCAATTTTATTTAATGATAAACTGTTAAGAATGAAAACATTTTAAATGATATGTTAAGTTCAGAATTCAAGACATTTAAAATGAAATGGTTTTGTATAAGTATTCGGTATATTTCATTTTAAAGTACTTTTCTAATTATTCAGCTAGAAGTTGTTGTTTTTGTTGTTGTTTGTTTTGTTGTTGTTGTTGTTGTTGTTCTTTTTTATATAAAATTGTTCTTGTATGGCCTGATGTACGCTACATTTATAGTTTAACATTTATTTGCAACATTATTCATTGTTTGGGCTGTTATACACGTATATACATGTATATACCAAAAAATACAAAATCAGATTATTGAACGCGGACAATCTTGTGCGGCCGGACATTTTGTCTGACAAATATGTATTTTATATGCTAATACATGATATTTGAGACACCTCGGGAGATATGAGAGGATGGTATATGTATTATATCAGCTGAAATAATTTATATACTAGATTTAAATTAAAACATTTTAAAGTCATTCCGAAAGGTATAATTAAACATGAAGTGACAAAATCGGATATCTTAACTAATATGAGAAAAATGGATAGAAAAAAGGACAATATAAATGTAATACGACTCCGCCTTACTTAATATACTTGTAGTCATTTTAATGTGTTTGAATATATTTGATATTCGAGTTTTTATGTTTTGAAAACAAGGCTTTTTTCCGATCCATTATTTGCATCAACATCTTTTAACGGTAATAGTTGATGCAACAAATAAATTAAAAAAATATGTTTGTTTGGTTTTTTTATTGTTTTTTTTTCTTTTTTATTGTTTTTTCTCTTGAAATGGTTATGTACAACTCCCAGCACTACATAAAAAACTATAGTAAATACTAAACATTCTAAAGTCTAACGTTTGCCCTCTGCACATAGAATGTCTTAACACTGTATCAAAACCATGACTTATTTGTAATGTAAATTTTTATTCAAGCAGAATGCAGGTTTTGCAAACTGTTTCAAGCCATTTTGAATAAATTCATCTAAAAAAAACTACTTATTTTGTTTCACCGCCATTTTACTACCCGGTGATAGCGTACAATGAACCAAGTTGTCATTTTTACAAGACCCAGCAGGGTGAGTCTATCGGTTTCAAACTGTCAAAAGAACAGAGTTAAAATCGTGTGTTATTATTTTGTCACCTAACTTGATGGCTTTATTCAAAACTAAGCGTTACCATGGCGGAAGGAAATACTTTAAGTCTTCTCCAGACATCCGATTTAAATGACTTGTATTGGGTATGATATTTTCGTGAATAATTTGAACATGTGCTTCAAATTCCTACAATAAGCCAAAGTTTGTCATATTATATAATAAACCAACAGTTTTGCCACCTTTGTCTTGCTGGCAAGGTGTATGGAAAGTCAATGTTCCATTCTCTAAAGTCTGTATGTGTGTACAACATGGTTATGTTAGACTGCCAATTGATTATGCAAGACATTGCATAGTACGTTTTTGGTTACTGTAAGTCCACTAAATTCATTGTAAGTGGCTTTTCCATTAAAAGTTACTACATAAATAACATAGTAACTCAAACAAGTTAGAACAAAATGGGGAAAAGTTTGCATGATTTGATGACTGGGATTTGTGAAACTCAACAGCAAATCTTCATAACAATATTATTTGATATGAATCGCATTTTCAAAAAGAAAAGTCAAAACACAAAGTTCGGGTTTTAGCACTTTTATTGTCGGGGACTGTTACTCGCCTGATTCCAGAAATAAACAAAGGATGCAATACAAAAGACGATGACAAAAATAGATATGTTATCAATGTTGTTCTGTTCTAATTAACACAAATATTTGCCATATTTTGAATAAAGAAATGCTAAAGTATATGTTACATAATAATTTAACAAGATGTTGTGTTTGTTTAATCTCATTTATACTGGGGGTAAAGATATATCTATTTTAAATAAACTCCCTATGTTTGATGCAATGTTATTTTTCACTTCTTAAATACAAAAAAGTATATAATAAGAAAGGAAAACGGATATTTTTCACAGCAGTCAAGACTTAAAGCAAAATTGTAGTGATCAAATGCCTTTAAAATTAAAATAAATGCTACTTTTTTTATAAAAATGAAAATGATGCTTTTCAAAAAAGTTCATTAGAAAATGTAATTTTTTTTGTTGAAAAATAACTGAGAAATCTGAAAAGTCCTGTACATTAAATAATTAGATTTCTGTTGGCCGAGGCAATTACTGTCTTTCAATCATTTCACAACAATTATAAAAAAAATGGATGCCATCTTTTTTTGTAGATAATAAAAAGTACCGTCTGCTGAATCAGAGAGTCTGGAAACGATGTCGTTCAGAAATCAAACGTGTGTACTTTTAGTGTCTTTTACTATGAACTAGAAGACTTAAAAGAGTAACATATAAATATATTCTAGAACGTAGGAACTACATAAATAAATTACAGAGAAATGTTGCAAGTTACTGGGTCAATATTATTTGGAATTCGTAGTCCGTGAATATTTACATTTTACACGTGTTATTTGGATACTTCAAGCGTAAAGATGTGAAATTTATACAAACGGAAAATATTTTACAAATCGAAATTCTTTGGACAAGTGTTGTCATAGGATAGTAATGCGTAGCATTTTCGTTATGAGACATGTGACGTCATTGGTTACCATGACTACGCATCTATATCCGGGTAAGTGCCGGCATGAATTGTCATGAAATCAGACCTTTGCACTTTTTCATGTTCAACTAACATTCAATTAAAACATTTCGTAGTTAATTAATTGATTATTCCATCCGCTGTACATGATACGATGATCAATGTCACAAGTGTCACGTGATGTGACGTCATCTGAAACGTCATGCTTCAAGTTTGACCGGAACTGTTTTGTGATTGTATAGTCCTTGTGCAATAAGCTCCATTGCAAGTCCGTTCTTGTCTCCGGTACATTTCTTTATCTTTGCTCTCTTATTTTGGAACCAGATCTTTATCTGTGATTCATTTAAGTTTAATTCACGTGCAAGCTGTTGTCGTCTGCTCTCAGACAAATATTTATTAGCCTCAAATTCATCTTTAAGTTTTCGGAGCTGTTCGGTTGTGAACGCTGTTCTTGGTCTTTTTTCGTCGACTGTCTTCTCTTTTCGCTTAAGCTTTCTTGAACGTGGACCTGAAATGATAAAAAAAATTGTTTGAATCTAACTGCTTTTTCTTGTTCATCTATTTTAACTATATCAAATGGACTTTTCGTAATGTAGATGTAAATACATGACATAATTTTTAACATCTGTTCATTAGTGCAACCACACATGTTTGCACTTATTTAAAATAAACTTTTGATTAATTAAATTTGTCGATTTGCAAATTTTGGTCTACCGAAAATCGTTGAACTTTTCATTGGATAAAAAATGCAGAAGTTTTATTTGATCTTAAAATGACCAAACCGCATCAAAAGAGATACATAGACTTAAAAATGATAATCGATAAGGTGATTAATTAATTGAAACGCTTTTAATTTCACGATTAAAGCAATTAAATGACGGAAGTCAACTTGGCAATAAAATCCTGACGTATACATGTAAATATAGACCTCAAAATTGACTGTCGATCGTACCGAAGAATTACCCTGACAAATATATGTGTGTGTTACTTGTTAACAAGCTAGGGCAGTCAACAAAGTAATAAAAAAGAGAACTTTTTCGTCGGCTAACAGGCGAACTAATTTGCGAACTATCCATCAAATCGCGATACAAATATTTTTCCGGAAAGGTCTTAATTCTCTAAATCGTTAAATGACAGAAAACATTATTCAAGAGCATATTTTATGTCTAACTAGCCTTACTTGTAATATATCTGTAAGATTTTCACACAAGATTCCCCCTGTAAATTGACTCGATCCCTGACCTTATGACACGGGTCTGCACGGGGTTTAGAGAGGGCGCTTTTTATTTTCCCCTATTCACATCGATTGCAATCTTATATTTTTTTGTCTTCTTTATGAAGTAAATTCTTTATAAACTATAAAACTGTAAATTACAAACGCACGTTAAAATGAGATAAATCTGTTGATAGGTGCAAGATGCTTGCCCTGAAATATGACACCCCCACATCAGTCCCTTTTGCTTCGCGATAATAAATTTTTATGAGGTACCAAAACGAAAAAAGAAGATTTAAGTTTTCTTGAAACCAAAGAAAACAAAGCCCATCATGATATTTACATGATGCAAATAATAATGTAAGCAATTAATATTATTAATATTATCTATATACAACTGCGCGCATTTTAAAGAAGTTAATATCAAAAATATGAAATATGACTCTTTCTAAAATATTTTCTAAAAAAATGGCTAACTATTTCTCTTTTATTTAACGGCAATGTTTTGAGTTTGAATCATCGGTCTGCACATAATCATTTACTTTTTAACCAAAAAAATCAAAGCCGAAATAGTTCACATAATTATACGCTTTTATTTCGCTTCATTTTTTATATTATAAGTAAGTTCCGACTAGCCACCATAACATTATTTTTCGTATGTAAATTGAATTTGCTCTTAAGCTTTCTTATGCTCATATCCAAAACAAAGATAATTTATTTGACACATATATATGTTGCCTAGATTTTCATTAAAATAATAATAGTTATAATTATAAATTTTAACATTTTTTTGTCCTTTTTATTAATTTTTAGCTTCATTATTTGAAAGAAAACCCTGAAAATCGAAGACAATATCATAGTTCCTTATATATTCTTTTTTTTTTTTTTGCATTTTACGTTACAATTAAACGTAGGTTGCAATGATAATATACAACTAACATATTATAAATAATATAGATTTATTAGCAAAAATGTATATATTTCCTTATTTTTTTATATACATAATATATAAATTTCGAACGGTTGTACAAACTTCAACGCTTAATTTAAACAGTAGAGTTAACTTAACAGTTCTTGAAAACTCAACCGATTATTTTATAGATTTCTTTCGATAATTTTGAAACAAAGTCGATCTAATATCGATACAATATCGATACAAATATCTAATATATTACAACGATATGTTTCCTAATCATAGTACTTGATCTTTATTAAAATCTCAAAGTTATATTTCAAGATTTGCGCTAAGATAGTGTGGGTTTTTTATGAAAGAAAATGATAAAAATTGTAATGTCTTCCAAATTTCCTGGAAAAGTCTACTTTTTGAAAGTTTGGTGCTAGAAGATCCGCTTAGAACTTAAGATTTCATGGAAAACGGTTTCACAATAAAGATAAGTTCAGATCAAGAATAATCAAGTTCAATATTGCATTTTCTCGATGAAGCCACTGAATTTTATTTAAATATATTAAGATTCGTGGCTTCATATATATTCCAATAAACCTTTGCAAATGTTATCCATTGGATATTACAATTTTAAAATAACCACTACAATGTACAACTTAATTGTTCTCGTGTAAATCATACAGAAATACCCCTTTAATTGTTCACCACAGAATGCTGTCTTTAACCATAGTGACATAGGAATGCTACTAATTAAAGAGAAACTCTCTGTTTAACAATTTGTTCAACCTTTTGTCAGAAACATACAATTATACCCATAAAGCATTTCTAACATATCTTTATATGACACAAACTAGATATGTTCTGTTAATCTTTATCTCTGTTGCAAATACAAATAATTTCCATGTAACGCTATTTGCCAAACATTTATATATATAGAATTCATTCGGATTTTTTTTTGAGAAGTGATTGTGTGATGGGGTTTTGTTTTTGATTTCAAACAAGATTTCATAACAATGAAAAGAAGATAACAAAATAGCGTTACACCCGATGCTTGTAATAATGCAATACGTGCTCAATAATCTTCTTTATCAAAAAAATAATGATGATGCTTTTGATCTAATATTGATAAAGAACAATCGAACTATATGTAGACAGTTCCTTTACTAATAGGTAGGCAAAGTATTTTTGAAAACAATTTTAACGTACAAAAGTTTGATTTAAGATATTAGAAAAGATGCAAGCAGAACATGTGTAAGATTTTATCTGTTAAAAATCTTTAAATTTAATTACCTGCAGAAGGTCTGTCGGAATATCTTGTACAGTATACCCAAGCCGGCCATAACTTTTCATCTTGTTGTTTTTGCCCAGACTCTGAGTTTGGACTCGAGCCCGGACTGCCGGCTGGGCTGGTCGCCGGACTGCTTTTAATACTTTCTCCGTCGGAACCACATGATTCCCGCCGGGAATCAGAACTTGTATTATGAATGTCTTTATTTTTCACTTCTAAATTGAGTCCATAACTTGTAGTTTGTTTCAATAAACTGTTTGGACTGTGAAGTCCTTTATCTTGGAGACTAGTGCAATGTTTGTTTAACACAAAATTATGACAAGTTTTTGGTGAAAAAGCACTGAACTGTAATCCTAGATGATGTAATGACTGCGCAGTCCACGTGTGTAAATCTGCTAAATGTAAACTGTTCGTTTGTCCGTATGTATTTTTGTCTTTCGATAGATTTAAAACACCTGTGGTCAATTGTTTATTTCCAAACCCCGGTTTCAGAATTTCTGAAATACTGAAGTTAGTAAAATTTTCATCCTGCTCGTGCGATTCCATATTTCTCGAAGAATTTATCTCTTCCTCTTTCATCAATTATTTTATGAACACTATATTTTATAACTTTCGTAACATTCAAGCTGAAGAGGCGTAAGTTAAGTGATCTAAAATTGAAAAGTCAACCGATGATATTTAATCCATAGAGACTATCGTTTAGTTTGATTAACCGCATCTACGCTTAAGGCGGAGTTACACATGCGAGGGGCGTGTCATTCTGTTATAATGTAGCCAATGGGAATTTCGATATACTCAATTAACTTCTCCGCCTCTTCATCAACTGATAGATCTAAAACATGATAACATGCTCGACCTAAATTGATATCATTACCTTATTTTTAATGTTCATGAAATGTGTGTAATTAACTGATTGAATTTTAGAATTTAATTTATAGGCAATTTCTAATTAAATACGTATTTTACGTAATTATTAAAGTTGCTACACTGAGCTGTATGTATTTATGTCGGAGTGTCCATTCGATTCCACGAGTAATCTTAGAACATTCGTTCTTGCATGTACCAACAATTAGCAAATTTTATACAGTATGTTTGTTTGTTGTTGTTTTTCTTCAACAACAACAAAATATTGTTCTGAGTCACGTTTCTTCATTAAAAATATGTTTTCTTGATTTATAAACTTTGATAGTTTTTTTTTATTATTTCACATGTAAAATACATGTGCAGCAAAATTATTTAGGCTTGTAAGCATTTTCTATATAAGATCGTTGTTTGATTGTATTATATCCAACATCTTTTCCAAGAAATTTGTCATCATCGACATCATAAACATGCATATGATTATATTCATTGATATTAACGCTCATTTAATTATTATTATTTTACTTCACAGTAAATGAAATATTAAAAACAATGTGTTTTACATGGTAAATTCTCTCTAGAAACATAAATTATATATTGTTGCGTTTTTGTTTCTTTGTTGTTGTTTTTGTTTTGTTTTTGAAAACTTTTCCGGTTATGTTGTTGTTGTTGTTTCTTTGTTTTTGTTTTTTACAAGTCCTTTTCCAGGGGAACAGTCTAAATTATTTACGACCCCCTCCTTGTGTTTTGAACTGTCATCTATATCTATATTCGGATGACCTTGGTTTTTTCCGTGTGTGTACCGAACAATCGTCACAATCTTTTACAGAAATTAGCATAAAACCTGATTAAGATCTTTATGTATAAAATATACTTCTTGATAAACTTTGATAAAAACTTTCATATTAATGATAATGTTGGAAACCGTGTCATTACTGTACGACTTTAGGCTAAAGTCTCACCAAACTGACAGATCAATTTGACATTTCCTTATATACAAATTGACTTTCCCACAATTAAAGTAAAAAGGTCTATATTTGGAGTGAAGTGGCCATAAACAATTTCAGACTTTTATTTGAAAGTTTAATTTGCCAAGTATGAAAATATGACCGCGAAATTTGCAATAACAATTTGTTCGAAATAAAGTAAGTCAATAAAGAAGTGACCCTTGCAAATTGTAAATGTTGCTTTTTTATATATGTGTGTATATTAATTGATACATTAACGGCAATTTTGTACAGTAAAACTTTATTATACATTTTATACGATTTATTGATATATATGTACACACTGTACATGTAATTATCTTGACGTATAGTTGTTACAATATCTTCAACAACCTGTACGTTCAACTGTTTAGGAATGTTTGCAAATGTATTAGGAAAATAATTTTACTATGAACAAAAGTAAATGTTTAAGATGATAAAATTGCATAATATAAGAATAATTAGTTTAAATCACTTAAATCCGACGACGGTAACGATTACTGGTAGAAAATAATGAATAATAATTGAATAACTGATATGAGCCGCGTCATGACAAAACCAACATAATGGGTTTGCGACCAGCATGGATCCAGACCAGCCTGCGCATACGGACAGTCTGATCAGGATACATGCTGTTCGCTATTAGTTTCTCTACTTGTAATAGGGTTGGTAAGCGAACATCATGGATCCTGATCAGACTGCGCGGAAGCGCAGGCTGGTCTGGATCCATGCTGGTCGCAAACGCACTATGTTGGTTTTGTCGTGACAGGGCTCATATAATTATTCTTAGCATTGCAATAAATTCAGAATATTAAAATAAATAAAAACTGTCTGTATTAATTTTAGTTAGTGGTCAATTATATTCATAAGAAAATTATTTGCGAAAAAATAATAAACTGTGTTGTCTTTAGGCAGACAGTAAGAACTTAAAGAAGCAAAACATGTGCTGTAACTTAATATTTACATTTTCTTGGCTCGTATATTTTCTTTGTCATGGGTTTTTACATATAATATCATCATGTTTGCTATTGTTTTTCTGTACTATTGCGCATATGTTAAAGTGTATCAAGCTACATACCTGCTGCAATTTTTTATTTAAATTTTGAAAAAAGTATATTGTCCCAAAATATGTGAAAGAAATATGTATTTATATTTCCTTACGAGCGAATGGTGCATGCACATAACAGTTTCTAAACGGTTAAACCCTACTCAAAAATAACTGCATTTTATTCTATTTATAAACATTTTTCATGAGTGTTAAATAACAAAAACATTCTTTGTTACAACTCGAGAATTGACCATAAGTTTATGAAAACAACATAATTTCGCTGTATAAAAATCTTTAAGAAAATCATAAGATATAGCTTTATACCATTCTACAAAAAGCCCTGTTTTAATTTCGACATTAAAAAAAATCATCGTTTTCATTATTTCATTAAAAAACAAGATAAAACAAAATTAGATTAAACCATGAAATATAAAATTAAGAAAAATGAAAAAATATTGCTAGCTGGACAAGATAGATCGATATTTTCCAATTACAAATTATTAAAATAAACAAAATAAACTGTCATATCAAACAAATTGTAAAAAAGAAGAAAGATTTGATTTCTGATCAATTTTTTTATTGGACACTTGTCATAATAAAGATAACATCAGTTACTACAAATCGCTTTATTTCTTCCCTAAAATCAAAAATTAAGATTTTTATCAGACCGAATGATGACCGTATGACCCCTGCAGCGTTCTGTTTATACCTGACTTTATCAAGTATATTTCACGGTTAAATATAATCATATATTTATTTATTGTCATCTTTATCAATGTGTTTATCTTTTTTATGTTTTTAAATGACCCCCTTTCTTTTTATAATGTAGTTAAGAATAGGCCGAGAGGAGTTTCAGAAAATCAAATTGTTTGGTCATGATTAAATTAAATCATAAATCGGTTAATTTTCATGCAAACGTTTTCATCTAAGAAGTTTATTTAAAATGCAGTGAAATCGTACTATATAGAAGAATATTCAAGTTTTTTTTTTTGTATAAATACAGGAATTATTTTCACAGAGTAGTATGAAAATAAATATATCACGAGTGACGATAGCCACAAATGAAATATGATAATTTTCATACCATATAAGATTAATCCCGTTTATGTAAAGAAAAAAAACTTGAATATTTTGTTTATTATATACTTTTACTCTTTTATAATCTAATGCTTCGAAAGATTTTCCCTTTAACTTTTTGTATTTCCTGAATTAAGAAAGAAAGTAGTCCGGCAAGACACCAGTGAAAATATGGAATATGTGTCAATGCAGTGAAAAATAAATTTTTACAGTGAAAATACCGAGTGTGAATATATGCATGTTATTTCATCAATATTTGTATAATATTTCATTTATAAGTATGTAATAAAGAGTTTCATTTCAAATGATATTCCATCATTCTTTAACAGCTTACAAGCAATATTTTATCGAATAAATGTAAGAAGGTCGACGAAGAACTAGTGAACAAATTGTATGCACACGCATATTTTCTTTGGAGCATTTATTAAGAGGGAAATAAGAAACCGAATCAGATGTAATGCGTCATACATTAAATAAATAAATGGTTTTATATTGAATATGAACAAGGACAAAAAATATTGGAATTATTTAATTTGCATAAAAACGTAATTTTCAGATTAGTAAAATTTTATTCATCTATCATTTGTAAAGAAAAGAAAAAGATATTCGTAACTATCAAGTTTTAGTCAGAACTTATCTTTTGTAAAATTAAATTTTCATACTCATTCTGTGTTATATCGTGTGCAAACAGATTCTGTACTGTCAGGAGCTCAATTTTTGTGTTAAAATCGCTTAAACTTTAAAGACCCATTATGCCTTAGAAATGCTTTTATTTATAAAAAGCATTTTAATTTTGGAGTACTTTTATAAAATACAAAAAGTTACTCATTGGCCCATTACCTAAACAATCTTTTTGATCTGTTGCTTTTTTGCAATAAAAACAGTTAAAATAATAAGTTTTAAATAAGTTTTATTCTGCATGGAAGGCAAAATACTACTTTCTTTACATGTTGCAACTTTATGACAAATTATTTTACATTCATCGCTTCTTCCTTCAAGTAACAAGCATCAAACATTTCTCAAAAACTATTATTTAAACATTATAAAATTCATGTTTGTCCTTTCTAAAGAAGTAAGAATGTATTTGTTTCTAAGACAGAATGTGCCTTTAAACATTATTCCAAATTCTAAGCAGGGCAAATCCATCACACAAATTCAATAGAATATGGGACATAATTTGCTTATACTCATAATGTACTGTGAATCCGTATTTATGCAAAAATAAAACATCTCTAAGGCAGGTCTTTAAAAGTAACATAAATGAAATAAAAGTTCTGTCATTCGCTCCGGTTGGCGACGTCTCCAAACGCCGGTGAAAGCCAACAGGACATGTTGTCTATGAACAATTTTAATGCGTTCACATTTGCTTTTCATCTATTATTCAAAACGTTTTACATCATGATAAAGATTTTGTCAGAATTGAAAATACAAACGATGTTTAATTTGGTACAAAAAACCTTGCCATTTTATTACGCATCTGTTGAGTCATCTTGTCTAACGTGTAAAATTAACAATTTACTCTGGACATTTTCATGGTTTTCTAATTGCTTACGGTATTTTATTTTCTTTACAGTAAAACTCTGCTACATCGAACTTGTAAAGACCATGGTACCAAATAGTCATCTTGTCTAACGTTTAAAATTAATAACAATTCACCCTGGACATTTTCAGGGTTTTCTAATTGCTTTCGGTATTACATTTTC